CGGTGTTTTATAAATATAATTGTTCAAGTAAATAATCGATCGAATAACATTTTGAAGAAAAAGAGATTTTGGAATACAAAATATACTGAGGAAAGCCAAACCTTCGAGGAGTTGCAGGAAATGAAGGTAACCGTGGAAGTAATACAGAGTTAGGTGGTGATGTGTTCAAAAAAACGGCAGAAAACGCCACGCATTTCAGACAAATCGAAGCAGAATAATGATAAATTGGAGAGTATTCTAGAAACTAAGCAAACATTAACAAAAGACATGTAACAAATAAGAGAAGAATAGAGAAAGAATACAGATGAGATAAAAGAATCAAAAACAGGAAACGAAATGTTAAAAAGAGAAAATATAGGTATATGTTACTGAAAGGAAGCAACTATATTAAGAGCTAAAAGGAATAACTACTTCGTAATACAAATTTTGCAGCTAGTAAAAAAAGAGAAAACTGAGAGAGACAATGACGGAATTTGTGCAAAAGCTGTTGAAAATAGATGTTATTATAAAAGATACTATAAAACTGGGGCAGACAACGCGTCTCCTCAACCTGTATATATGAAACGATAAAGCTTAGGTAATGAAAATAAGAGTAAGCTAAGACACTACAAGGGCGGAAATGCAATATACTTTAACGATGATGTCGAAGAAAGAAAGCAAAGTACAGGGAGAAATTAGAAAGGTTGCTCAAGAAGAAAGGATGAAACGTCGGAATTGGGTTTCAACAGCCAATAATAGACAATCAAGTTTGGAAATGGTATATGAAGACCTGGATATAACTACGATTGTATTAAGGTAGAAGATCTAAAAAACTAAAATATAACTGTTGGGAAAGAAAGAAACATGGATACGACATGGTGTAGAAATAGACTACGAAATAAAAGATAGCGCGAATTGGAACATGTGAAACAAAAGAAGATGGAACTCTGGAAGCTGGGAACTTGGAATATTAGAACCCTGAATGGAACGGAAAATAAATTCGAGGGAAAGTTTGAGAATATTTTCTTCTTTCTTCCATTTAGGGTTAGAGCCTCTTCTTCATCAATGACGCCTCTATTCTGTGCGTAAATTCCTATGTCTGCATTCTATTCTTTTTTCCTGTTTTACGTCCAATTGTCGATATTTTCCACTGCACACAATCTTCTTATAGCTTCACTTCTTTCTATATTATACAGAGTTTTGCCAGTAATTCTGCAAAATGTCTTCATTTCAGCTTCTTGCAATATCCATTTTGTTTTAGATGTATCCGACACATCCAGTCTCAGGTGTATCGGTTATGAACGTTTTTTTGATGTTCTTATATATTCATACTTGTACTTACAGTGTTCATACGTAAATATTTAAAAAATGTTTAAGCAGCTTGCGATTTTATTAGCATTCCTGACTTGATGGGATATTCTATTTCAATATCATCAAAACTTTCAGTATTACAAAGGCCCTATGTAAATCAATGAAACATAAAAATGCGGGATTATCATATTCTATTGACATTTCTACGGCTTGTCTCTTTACGAAAACAGCATCTGTGCAGGACCTTCCTCTCCTAAAGCATTGTTATTTTTCAGTCAGTGTTGCAATGTAGATTTAGAGTAGATTTAGATTTAGAGTAGATTTATCCCTATGTAGTTGTATTGTTCTTTTTTTACTCCTTTTTGAACATTAGAATCATTGTACTTATTATCCATGCATTGTTCTGTTAGGATTTTGTTTATCACTGATGTTATTTCCGTTATTATACTTTATCCTCCATACTTTAACAACTTATTTGGGATGTTGTCCTGGTGATTTTCGGTTTTTCAGTTTTCTTAATGTTTCTCTGGTATTTTCTGGTGTTATTGCAATGTCATAATTTATTGTGATGTTTTTGGTTTATCTTCCTGTATGTCGTCGTAATCACTTGTTACATACTTTATCGAAGTATTTTCCTCCGTCTGGTTTGTTTCTATCAATTCATGTACCTCTTTTCTCTGATGTCTGACATGTCTCCATATTTGCTACTGTTGCCTGCAAAAATCTGACGCACGGTCTGTCTTATTTCGTTTATGGTTTGCATTCGCAACATTTTTTATTTTGTTTTTGACTTTATTCCGCCAGTCTTCTATGTCGTTTTCCCATCCTACTGGGTTTGTACTGATTTTCGTGGCTAACCTTTGGCATAGAAGTTTTGTGGATTCATTCCACAAACCTGTATTGTTGTCTCCTTTTCTAGTAAGTTGTCCTTTGCTGAATTTCTTGTTCTTTTCTTAATAAGAGTTTATGGTCACCCATATTAGCCGAGTTTAGTATTCTGCCATCTAGCGTTTAAGATGATGATACGTTTCGGATGGTCAATATGTAATCAATCATAGATTTCCGATCTCTGCTACATTTCAATGAATAGTTGTATGTGTCTATGTGGTCATAGAATGTGTTATTAATTCTAAAGTGGTTGAGTGAACATAGATTCACCATCAATTCTCTGTTATCATTGATATGTCTTTGTAAAATCTCTGTTTGATTCCTGGTACTACACTATTACTTATTCGTGCATTGAAATATCCCATTATTATTACTTCTTCGTGTGGTATATTCTTGCCATAATCCAAACAAAAAGGAAGGAACGAGGAATGATAAAAACGGGAAAGGGTCTCACATCCGTATGCGGGGTATGCGAGGAATATAAAAGAACAGCAGCCGGTGTAGGATGCATATTCATAGCAACGAATACTTTCTATAGAATTAAAAGACTGAAATAATGACTATTAAACGTTAATAGTGGTATATGGTCCAAATGAGGATGACAAAGCCGAAACAAAAAGGTGTCCTTTTGGAAGGAACTAACATCAATAGCAAAGGAGGCAAAGGGTAGTATATACATAGGAGGAGATATTAACAGTAAAGTAGTCAAAAAGAACGAGGTGTATAGTACCGGCATTGGTAAGCACTGTGGTGAAATAAGAAATAATAATGGAAAGCGAATGCTTGATTTCTGCATACTAAATAACTTAATAATAACAAACACTAAGACAAATTCACCTGAGAAGTTTAAAGTAGAGGCGAGAAAACAATAATTGACTAGATATTAGTGAAAAAACATAAAAGAAAATGATTTTAGATTCAAAAGTAAGACGAACACCGGAAATTAGCAGATCACTACCTACTCAGCACTTAAAAACAAGTTACAAAATGAAGATGATAGATAACACAGAAAAGGAAAATACAATCTAAAACAATACGAACATACAAACTAAGAAATAGAACAGCAGCAGAAAAATACGAACGCGCAGTATCAGAACTATAAGCTGTCATAAATAAAATAGCAGAAATCAGCAAAATAATCAGAAAATATCAAAAAATTACCATGTCATAAACTTTAACCTTTTGGCCAAAGCAGAAATATCACTGAAATCAAACATCAACGTGTTCAAAACAATCTACAGGCATAAATTAACTTTTGGCTGTAAGACATGGCTGTTATGATAGCTAAGATAGCAGAAAAGCAAAATACAAGCGACTGAAATGATAGAATGAGAAACACTGGCATTTGACAAGAATTGGGAGTTTATCGAGAAGTTAATATTGTGTGCCATGTACAAAAAATGAGTAGAATGAGTAATTGACCGTTCAAAAAAGTTTGGGAAGCCAGAGTGCAGGAAAGTAGAAGACGGGGAAGCAAGCGACAGACATGCAACGAATTCATAAGGCAAGCATTGGTGAGGAGAGGAATGAATTGGACGGATATTAGAATATTGTTAAGAGACGGGTATATATTTAAGAAATTATATATATTAATTAGTATGTAATAATTATTATACTACTAATATAAAAACATATTTTTGATGAAACTTTTAAACAGTAAGTTCTTCATTTATATTTATTATTCAGCGAAAAAGGAAATTATGTAAGAATATAAAGAAATTAGTACAATACATAAATTCATTTATAATTCAAATTTAAAACGTGTCGTTTTTAGTCTGTGAATTCCATTAATCAATGTTAATTAATCCGACGTCGAAAATTGGTGATTGAAAGTGCAAAGTGTAAAATTGATTTTTTATCAATAAACCGTGATTCGGAGGGAGAGATTCGGCGCGGCGGTCCGTTTCATCGCGGCTCTACAACAATCGGCCTCCGAAGTGGCGCCTAATCCTTTGATCCCTTTTACTCGTCAAGGATCCGAACGGATTAAACTTTTAATTACAAGCGAATCGCTTCGAATCTCGAATCTTTCTAGAACTGTAAGAACAACGTTTGCCAGAAGATTTCGTTTCCTCCGGCAACGTTCCGTCGGTTTGCGTACGCCAGCGTCCGGATGAATATTATTCATTTTCACCATTAATAATAAATCAGCATAATGGCCGTATTTCGTGAAAGTTTAAAGTGCAGTTTAAAAGCTAACTCCGCATCGATTGCGGAGAGCTAAGACCGAACTCAAGCTCCTCAGACTTCGCAGTCTTCGTTTCGGTTCGTTGCTCTCGTCTACCGAATTAAAATCATACCAACTAGAAACCAACAGAACGACTTTGCTCAAAACGAATGTGTGTAGCGACACACATTCGTTGTTCCGGTTGGTTTCTTACCTTAAACTAAGATATTATCCGCATGGAATGAAAAGCTTTCAGCTGTAAAGGTTAAACTAACAATTTTGATATTATTTGCCCACTAATATTCTTTAAATTAACCTATTTGAAAGAGAGTAAACTTGACGGGCTCTTTCTCCACTAAAGTATTTTAATAAACACAGAGGGCCACAACAATGTTGGTACCTTCGCGAGGGGCCCTTTTTGGCATTAAGTAATACATAAAGTATTCCGGCAGAGGGCGGTTCGTAAACCGGTTTATTTACGCTTAAGTGGGAAATTTGCCGCAGATGGTGCCAGCGTCGTAAAGTCCGGAACCGACGTTCGCGTTCTGCTACTGTTCGGCCGGTTTTAATGACCGTCGATGAAATATGGCGCAGCGACCGGCGAACGTCGTCGTTTATTAAACGCTACAGAACCACCTTTCTCTTGTTGTTGTAGGTGCGAAGTGCTACAATGTAACCGTGGCCATCAGCGGGAACAATGGACGTCCGATGGCTTATGTCCCTCTCCCGACTTCTCCTCATGTTCGTTCAACTGGTGAATTATACTGCCACGTTCAAACAACAAGGTAAGTCATTTGCATTTATTTCCTGCTGAAAATTTATTGTTAAATTGCTGGAAACGTGTATAGTTAGGTATTTCTTTCCTACAAGAAATTTAATACACTTAAATATCTCCTCTTTTTTATTCCTACTAAGGTTATTGTAATAATTATAATTTTAAATGTGATAACCTGTGCGGTAAATGATAACAAAATAAATTATAACACCGGATCACACTGCAACTCTACCAACTTGTTTCTTAGTGATAGCGTTCATTTTCTGCCAATAAGCCAATATAGGTGTCTAAATTTGATATCAAGTTCCTCACGTTTTTTTTGACGTGAGCTTTCCATTTGAGCTTGGCATCCAGCGTCATACCAAGATATTTTGCGGTGTCGTCGTAAGAGACTGCCTTGCCATTTATGTGTACTGGGACATAGTTAACTTTCTTATAAGCAAAGTTTATGTATGTCGATTTATTTGTATTTAGCTTTATTAGCCCTCGTTTGGTCCAGTTTTCTATTGAATTTAAGGCCAATTGTAACTTATTTGCTGCAACTACTTCATTTTCATCTGCGTCATCTGCGAATGTAGCTGTTAATGTTTCTGGTACCTGAGCAAGGTCGAATGTGTAGAGTAAGTGTTGGGCCAAGAAAGATGATCAGAAAGATATGATTTTAATAGTTGACTATACGTTGATGGTAGTATTTGGTCTAGTTTGTAATTTAAGGGGGAAACCACATTAGGAGGCTCATATTCATTGATTTTTTAGGATTTTTTTTTTTGAGTGGGAAGAATTAATTAGAATTTAATCAAATTTTGACATTATTTTGTTTATATTTCGAACAACTTTTTTGAATTTTTTTAAATAATTTTATCGAAAAATAACAGTTATGCTCTGATGCCCGCTGGACGTTGTATGTAGAGTTCTCCAATTGCGGGACGTGTAGCCATTTCAATTTTCATCTGATATCAAAAAGTTTTTCATTTCAGATTAATAACTTATTTTCTAAGAATATGAACCTCCAAGCAGATAAATGTAACGAAAATTAAAAGTTTTGCAGGTGTTGGAAAACTTTACTTAAAATTTCACTTTTTTTTCAACAATTAGAGGCTTTATCAAGTACTGAATATTAATAAAGTTTATATCTCTTTTCTCTTGCATTGTCTAAATACTAAATATTAATTACTTGGTTAGTGAATAAGGAGATCTGATGGACAAGACACTTAGGTCGTATGCTAAATGAATAAACCAACCGACAAAAAACTCTTATTGGAAAATGCACCAGACACAAAAGAGGGGAAGTTCGAATCCGAAGAGGTTGAACCGCTGGCCATGTATTGTGACTCTATATTCCGTACTGATTACGATCAAAGAGATCTGCGTACTAATTTTATAACTTAAATTGTTATTAATTTAAAAACAAGAGCTTGACTTTCTTCAATTGAAGTTATATTCCCTATGTAACAATGTTAGGAAGTTTCAAATTACCAGCCAAAACATGATTTTACTAATTTTCTACTCTTTTAATATTTTAGCAAATTGTTTGAGATGGCCGAATGAGTAATTATAATGGTATTAAACGTTTTCAACTTAATTTAGTTATAATAACTTTCTANTAACTTTCTTATAAGCAAAGTTTATGTATGTCGATTTATTTGTATTTAGCTTTATTAGCCCTCGTTTGGTCCAGTTTTCTATTGAATTTAAGGCCCATTGTAACTTATTTGCTGCACTTACCTGAGGAAGGTCGAATGTGTAGAGTAAGTACAGTGTTGGGCCAAGCACACTTCCTTGAGGAACTCCGGCTCGTATTTCATGTAGTGGTGAACAAGCGTTTTCGTATTTACTCTAAAATATCGATCAGAAAAATACGATTTTAATAGTTGACTATACGTTGATGGTAGTATTTGGTCTATTTTGTAATTTAAGGGGGGAAACCACATTAGGAGGCTCATATTCATTGATTTTTTAGGATTTTTTTTGGGTGGGAAGAATTAATTAGAATTTTACTTAAAATTTCACTTTTTTATTACTAATTATGCAAAAAAAATGCTCTTAAAATCATGATATCATCTCAAAAGTTGGTTCATATATTTCGTAATTTCATAAAGAATCATACTATCAATTTTCATAATGATTGGTTCATTACTTTTTGAGTTAGAGTTCCTGCAAATGTGAAAAAAGTCATTTTGAGAAACACGCGTTTGAAAAAAAAATCTCGAAAACTAGAAATTTTGAAAAGTTAACAATAATATAAAGTAGTCACCGATTAATCCGCGATTTCACGGATTTCCGCACCATATATTAGTCCTTCTTCTTCCTCATAGGCTTCATTTTGCGCCTGCAGCAGTGCATCATCAGAAGAGATGAATTTCCTTCATTGAATAAGCACGCGGCTAAGTACGATGCCAATTCGATGACTTTTAGTCTGGAGTGCAAATGTTTAGGAAGTAATCGTCAAATTGTGGAATTAAAGCTTTCATTTGCGTTTTGCGTGTGGCCACCTAAACATCTTTCCAGTAATTCATTCTTCGATAAATCTTCATATACATGCAGAATTTCCTGCTGTATGTCAAGATGCAACGGAGTAGGATGCAAGCTTCATTCCAAGAGCTATTCGTTTCTGCCACATGCACCAGTTGTCTTCTCCCTATGGGCAACACTTGTATCGAGGATTTTCATCGGTGGATGTCATATGATAGTATGTCGCCATCATTATTATCACTCTGTTTATTACTGTGCTGGTTCCCATGGAATTTTCTGTTACGCGGTTTACTGCGGCGTTTGTAAAGCACTTTCAATTGCAAACGTACTCATAGAAGCTAAATCAAAACTGACGCCAAGTGAGGTAAACAAACACACAATAAACAAAAATGTGTTTCATAGTAACCAGGGCGTACCGCGATTTTGAACCTTCTAATGTGGTTTCCCCCTTTAAACCATCTAACCAGACTTTGTCGAAAGCTTGTGCAACTTCCAAAAATACGGCGGAGCAGACTTTATTTTCTTCCATTGCTATTTCAATAGTATTCCTTATTCTATGCACTTGGTCTATTGTTGCATGTTTATTCGCAAACCCAAATTGATGTGTTGGTATTAGGGCTTTTTCTTCTATGACAGGTTTTAGTCTTTTTAATAGTAATTTTTCAAGCAGTTTTGATAGTAAGGGTAATAATGAGATTGGCCTATATGATGTAACATCAGTGAGGGGTTTACCAGGTTTTGGTATCATTATTATTTCAGCAACTTTCCATATACTTGGGAAGTATTTCTGTTTAAAAGCAGCATTAATTATATGTAATAGTTTTGTAATCGCCCGTTTTGGTAGATGTTTCAATGTTTCTCCATTAATTAGGTTATAGCCTACTGATTTCTTTATATTTAGTTTTTGTATTTCATAATACAGTTCTTTTATTCTTACACATGGTATATAACTCTGCTGGTCACTTTGAATTTCGCCAGGGACACTATTTAGCACAGTTATTGGACTGTCTAATGTAAAAGTTTCTTTCAGATGTTCAGCAAACAAATTAAGTTTTTCTTGATTGCTCTTAGCCCAATTTCCATTATTATTTCGAATTGGAGATGTATATTTTTGGAACTTTAAGCTTTCTTGTTACCTTCCACAGAGAATAATCAGTACTGGCATCGTCTGTAAGGTCTTTTAAGAAATTTCGAATATTATTTTCTTTGTGCCTATCTGTTAATGCTCTTAATTCGGCTGTTATTTTATTTAATTTAGTTTTATCACTAGGAATTCTATTGGTTTGCCATTTCTTTCTTGCTTTCCGTTTTTCTGCAATTTTATCTCTAATGAATTTAGGATAAATATTAGATTTAGGTTTTGGTGTTAAAATTGGGGCCCAGGCTGCGTTTTGTATGTCTTTTAAGAACTTTTCTACTTCCTTGTCAGTGTCTTCGTTAGTTTTAATAAGAGCATTAATGAATTTTATTATCTAATGTTTGNCACGTTGAAGAAGTCAAAATGGCTACTTACTTGTTTCATCGCTAAAATTCTTTTGTATTTCTAGGATATCAAAAAGTTTTGAAAAGTTATACTGTAAGAAAAAGGTTAAACTTTAAAAATGATTCCTTTGAAATTGTTTCTAACTATAAACTTACAGAATGAGATTCTTATTCTGTAAGTTTATAGTAAGTAATCGAATTCATTCGACGATGAACATTTTTCCTTTTTCTGATTTTGTTTCCTAAAAACTTGACGGTAAATAATAGATATAATGTTGTAACTTAGTCATTACCTTGTTTTTTGTTTCTAGTTGTGCCTGAGGAAGAGACTTTAAGTCTCGAAACATGTAGCACTTATATAAAAATAAATTTCTTTCATCGTTTCTCTTCGAGTATAATTTTATTACAACTCACGNATAATAGATATAATGTTGTAACTTAGTCATTACCTTGTTTTTTGTTTCTAATTGTGCCTGAGGAAGAGACTTTAAGTCTCGAAACATGTAGCACTTATATAAAAATAAATTTCTTTCATCGTTTCTCTTCGAGTATAATTTTAATATTGAATTTCAAGGCATTCCTCAGAGGTCAACTTTGTCTACATTTTGCGAATCCTTAGGAATCGTATTTTCCGAACTCGATGTAGCTCATCGGAAGCACTGTAACAGATAACATATATCACATGAATTTCTTCGTATAAGAAATCAGTCCCGCTGAATTTTAATCAGAAGCTCTGATGATATCGATAAGCATTAACTTTACAATTTCTACTTGAATTGCAACTATATGATTAGAATGCCTACGCTTTGTTGTTACTACAACAATATACAATTTAGATTTTAAATATCCTTACAACAATTCCAACGGTATTAGATCTGGAGATCCATAGTGGACCATCTACCGTCCCTTAATGTACCTTAACACCAAGTTAAGGTACATTCTTACTATAGCAACATAATGTCGAATTCCTTTCGTTTTTATTCTGCGCCTTTTGTCATTTGTGGAATTATTTCATTTTGTAATAATAAAATATGCAGGAAACTTAATACAGATTTTATTATTCATCTTAAATGATGATGACTTCTTAACTTTTTGGATTTCTTGTTAGAGATTCACTTCATTTACTTAGAAAGCTACGGACATTGTTTAATATCACTTTCCTAAATTCATAACTTATTTATTTACACAACAACTTTTTATTATACCATTACCTACCTTCTTAAGTTTTGTGTAAGTAACATTCCACCCTTGTATTATAAGCACTTAGGGTTCCCTTAATTCTAGTTGNCGATATATTTTTCGTAATAAAAAAAATCAAGCAGGTCCGGAATTTTACTTCTATCTGTTGGCCAGTAAGTTGGCTTCCCAGTGGAGAGCACCTCACAATTTAGGACCTCTATTGCATGGTTCAGTTCTCTTCCTTTTGTATTTATCAAGCGAGAACCCCAAGACATATGTTTTGCATTAAAGTCTCCTACAAGTATAAATTTGTTGGCAAGATGTAGTAGAATTTCCTGATAATCTTCTCTTTTGCGATTATGTCTCGGTGGTATGTACCTTGCTCCTACAGATATTAACCCATTAGCAGTTTGAACTTTTACCACTGTAGTTTGGTGTTGTTCAGTACTAATTGTATTGTTCAAATAGTGGTCAACATTCCTTTTTATAATAATTGCACTTCCACCTCGAGCCGCATTACTCGGGTGAATTGTGTGATAAATATTGTAATGGTTGATGTTTATATACGATTCTCGTATAAAGTGAGTTTCGGAGATAAGACATATATCAATATTGTTTTCTTTAAGTATTATTGGTAGTATGTTTTGATGTTGTTGAAGACCATTGGAATTCCACAGCATTATTTTTAGTTGCTGCTTTTTAGACATTTTGATTTCTTTTTTGAATCGCTCTATGGTTTAAATTGCTTTCAATGAAATCTTGACGTGCATATAATGTTTTTAATGTTTCTTGTTGTTGAAGTATTTTTTCTAGTATTAGATCTAATTGACTGTCAGCCTTCTTATCGATTAATGTACTTACAGTTTCTCTGCAGCTTCGCCACTCGCTTTTTGGGCATACGAGACCCCTGGCTTTATTTTATTTGAATTTACTATTTTTTTATTCCTGATGGCTTGTAGTTCCTTAATCACAATGCATCCTCGGTAGTTCGCTGGATGATTTTCTCAACAGTTGAAATATTTAGCCGGGATTTCTTTGGCTTTAGTAACTTTGCACTGGGGCATTTGTTTTGGCTTTCTGACTCTTCGGTTTTGACACGCAATATAATACGTAGCGTGTATTTTAATACGCTAATATGTTTATTATTTCATGGATTGTTTTTACATCCTCTAACGGTGCAAAATCCAAGATTTATAAAGGAAGAGGCTCTTTTGTTTTTTATTTTAACATATGGGTTACTTTACAAATGTTATACTTGCGCTTCAATAGATCATCTTTGATATCATTAACATCACGGCTTTTATGCATCTTTTTAGCGACCACTTTCAGATTTCTAGTTTGCTTATTTTCATAAGAAAAATTCTTTTCAGCAAGCATCTTTGATGCTTCTCTGTACGTTTCTTCCGAATTAAGATTCAGTTTTACTATGCCATTATTTAACGCATGTGTTAAAAATTCATCTTTAATTACTCTTTTAAGTAATTTATAAATGTCATCATAATGTTTGACATTATAAATTAATATTAGTGGGGGTAGTAATACCTTTGTTTTGTTTTTTACGCCAGATTGTACGGGTTGCTTTTCAGGTTTGCTTTCAATTTCCGAAGACAGTTTAGATGGCGAGGTTTCAGTTTTACGTTTTTTGTTTCTTTTAGCTTGTTTTATTAACCAGTCAGTCTCCAAAGCTAACTCATCTTCGTCTGTGGTATACACCACTTTAGTGGTTACTGGAGTGTTAAGATTTTTCTGGGTTTTTAGAGCTTCTATAATGCCCCTCAGGTCATCTATTTGTTTCTGAAGAGTAGCTTCATCTTTAGTGCGTTGCTTCTTTATTTGTTCGATTTCTTTTTAAGAGGCTACTTTACCATACAGCTCGGCAAATTACAAAAAACATACATTATTTATGAAAATATTTGGATGAAATTTTGTACATAGCTTCTTCTAACAATTCTACATAACGCATGGTGAAAATTTTTAAAGTTTTCCAAAAAAAGGGATTTTTTTCCTCAATATTATACAATTTGGTCGTTCTTTTTTAGCTTGCATGATAGTATACTTGAAAATAGTAATATTTTTCAAATAAATTTTTTCAAAANACATGAATTTCTTCGTATAGGAAATCAGTCCCGCTGCATTTTAATCAGAACCTCTGATGATATCGATAAGCATTAACTTTACAATTTTTACTTGAATTGCAACTATATGATTAGAATGCCTACGCTTTGATGTTACTACAACAATATACAATTTAGATTTTAAATATCCTTACAAAAAATTCAACATTTAGATCTGGAGATCCGCAGTGGACCATCCATCGTCTCTTAATGTACCTGAACACCAAGTTAAGGTACATTCTTACTATAGCAACATAATGTCGAATTCCTTTCGTTTTTATTCTGCGCCTTTTGTCATTTGTGGAATTATTTCATTTTGTAATAATAAAATATGCAGGAAACTTAATACAGATTTTATTATTCATCTTAAATGATGATGACTTCTTAACTTTTTGGATTTCTTGTTAGAGATTCACTTCATTTACTTAGAAAGCTACGGACATTGTTTAATATCACTTTCCTAAATTCATAACTTATTTATTTACACAACAACTTTTTATTATACCATTACCTACCTTCTTAAGTTTTGTGTAAGTAACATTCCACCCTTGTCTTATAAGCACTTAGGGTTCCCTTAATTCTAGTTGAACGTTTTATAATATTATTTTTTTCATTATTTACTTCTTTTATTTCATGAATAATCTTAACCCAGAATAGCCTCTATATTATTATGAGTGCACTTAATAAATACATTCTAACATCATACAAAACATTTCTGATTTGCATTTCAATTATTCTAGATTTCCAATATTGATCTGTATTATTTTGAATTTGGTGTATTCAATCCCAAATTTTAAAATTTCGTTTTCATGCACCGTAAGGTTTATTGAACAATTTTCCATTTCCTTTCATATTTATTTCTTAGAAAAATAACATTAATTTCTTCCTACGTAGGTACAGTTCTGCTAGAGATTTGTTCTTAGAATTTCCTAGAAGTTTCGTCGGCGTTCGATATGGCAATAAAAATATTTTCAATAAGTGAAATAAACAAATACAATTTTCAACTAGGAAGGATTTAAAATTAGTTTCATTACCAGTGTTTTTTGTTAAAAAGTTTTCAGGCCATTTGAGATATAAGTCGTTTATTACCAAAAACATATTTCTAAGGTATGAACTTGCAAAGTCTTCATTAACTCTCTCTCAGGGATTTTCGGCTTCAGGCTATGAATGTAATTCTGATATAACAGACTCTCTGGCGGGTTGTATACAAGATTTACTTTGTTTTGCAACTTGTTCAATATCTTTATCCAAATTAGGCCACTAAATAGAGCTTCTTGCTAAGGATTTTCATTTCACAGAAAACAAAAATTTATTCTCTTTTATATTTAATTTATCTTTCTTCTTAAGTAAATTTACGCTCTATTTTTCTTTTCATTCCCCAAATTGGAAAATTCATCAATAATTGGAAAACGAATATTTGGTGGATAACTGTAAAAATCCTGTAAAGCTAAAGCAAAAGCATAGTACACGAAAAAATGCGTTGTTCGAAAGCAATCGTTTTATTCTACTTAATAGCAAAATGATACCTTAATAGAATTGCTGATTAACGTTGTAACCTATTTGCAGACTATGTCAGAATTACTTTCTTATTTCCAAAAATTGTAAGATATGATTTATGATCGGTGTATCCTCCATATACATATATAAATTTCTGTAATTTTTTAATTGCTCTTGAGTGCCCATCCTTCTTTTTGAAATTTACCTGTACTTTGATTGAGTTGTCAGTTTAAATTAAGCTTCAAATTGTCCCAATTGTTAGAATTATTTCTAATTAATGAGTAGGTCAATTTGTAAAATTTCAATTTTTAATAATTTGGCAAATGGTGCTTTAAGTTTTATTATCTTCAACGAAAGTTTGATGATTCCTAAAAAATTCTTATCTTATTCCTTGGAATAAGCATTGATTTTATTTAGATCATTTTTGAATCAAGTATTTGTCCAAGTTATTTAATAGAGTATTATTAAAAAAAAAAAATAGAAATAGTATTAAACAAATATGTGGTTTGTTAAAAAGGCTGCAAAATATTTTTGCTAAAAGTGTTACCCTATCATTCCTCCAAATTAATTTTCTAACATAACTTCCTTCCTTT